TTTCATGCTAAAATCAGGAAGAAGACAAGGATGCCCACTATCACCACTCCTGTTCAATATAGTTCTGGAAACACCAGCCACAGCAATTAGAAAAGAGGAAGAAATAAAAGGAATAAAGATAGGAAAGGAAGAAGTGAAACTGTCATTATTTGCTCACGATATGATACTTTACATAGAAGATGCAAAAAACTCTGCCAAAAGACTTCTAGACTTAATTGACAGATTCAGTAGAGTAGCTGGATACAAGATCAGCACTCAAAAAACAATAGCCTTCTTATACACAAATAACAGAGTTACTGAGAGAGAAATTAGGGAAACAATTCCTTTTATAATAGCATCCAAAAAAATGAAATATCTAGGAATCAATCTAACAAAGGAAGCCAAAACCTCTACATTGAACACTACAGCACTCTGAATAAAAGAGATGTAAGAAGATATAAGAAAATGGAAAGACATCCCTTGCCCTTGGGTAGGAAGAACCAATATAGTGAAAATGGCCATACTTCCCAAACTACTATATAGATTTAATGCAATGCCAATTGAAATTCCAACAATATACTTCACAGAACTAAAGAAAACAATCCAAAAATTTGTTTGGAACCAGAAGACACCTAGAACAGCAAAAGCTGTTCTAAGCAACAGAGACATGGCAGGGGATATTACAATCCCCAACTTGAAACTGCACTACAAAGCTACTGTAATAAAAACAGCATGGTACTGGGAAAGAAACAGACCTGAGGATCAGTGGAATAGATTAGAAGATGCAGAAACAACTCCAGACATAGTCAGCCACCTCATCTTTGACAAAAGAGCCAACCATTTAATAAATGGTGTTGGAAAAACTGGATTTCAACCCGCCAGAGATTAAAACTAGACCCATATCTATCACCATGCACTAAACTAAGATCAGAGTTTATCAAAGATCTAAATATTAAAACAGAAACACTAAACTTGCTGGAAGATAAGTTAGGTAGAACTCTTGAAGACATTGATTGGCATAGGAAAAAACTTTATGAACAAAACCTCAGTAGCATGGGCACTAGCTCAAAGAATCAACAACTGGGATCTCATCTTATTTAAAAGCTCCTGCACTGCAAGCGAAACCATCAACAGAGCTAAGAGACAACCTACAATGTGGGAAAAATTTTCAGCAGGTGCACCTTAGACAAAGGGCTACTATCTGGAATATATAAACAACTGAAAAAAAATCAGACCCCCCAAATTCAAAGACCCAATTCAAAAATGGGCATCTGAAATGAACAGCCATTTCTCTGACAAAGAAGTAAAAACAGCAAATAAACATAGGAAAAAATGTTCAACATCCCCAGTCATTTGAGAGATGCAGATGAAAACCACACTGAGATTCCACCTCACCCCAGAAAGAATGGCTGCTATCAAGAAATCAACCAATAACAAATGCTGGCGGGGTTGTGGGGA